AAGATTTCTTCCATGAAATGTATTCCTTCCTTTCTTCTTCATTAAGATGACCCAGTTGCCTTCTTTTTCTACTTTTCCACCATTCTTTGCTCTCATTAACATGTTATACAGATCCTATGGTAAAATTTATTTTTTGGCACATATTTCATGGTATGTTTACAATTCAAATTAGTCATTCATTTGGGAAATTTATTAACTTAAAATGGACATATCTTCAAAAGGTAAAGTTAGATATGCTGAGATTTTATCAGATATGGTAGGCTACATTTCATAGAGTTGCAAAGAGTTGGACACAGCTGAAGCAACTTAGCACACATGCAATTTAATTAGTTTTGGTTAATATTAATTATCCATTAAAGCTGGCAAAAAAAATAAAGCTGGCAGCTTCACACCTTTGTCATCCATCTGAAAAAACTAGACAGAGATCATTGTGCTGTTAATACTTTTTATTCTCATTTTCCTATGAAGGCTCCAAAAATCATCCCAATGGAAACAAAACCTATCATTGCTTTCAGTAAAATATTGGTGAAACATACCTTATTATCATTTGATTATTCAATTTCAGTAATGAATTTCAATTTTATAACTATGATTTTAGGAACTGTAACTTTACTTTCATGTTATCTTGGTATGATTATAACAATGTAATTTAATTTGTAAGGGAATACTACAAATTAACATTGTCTAAAATATAAGGAATAATACCCAAGAAGACTATTTCTTGATATGTTCCTTCTTTTTCAGAAAACTTCTTTTCTAAGATTAGAACTGTGATTCTATTTTCTAGTATTTGTTGTTCAGTTGCTAAGTCATGTCTGACTCTTTGCAATCCCATGAACTGCAGCATGCCAGGTTTCTCTGTCCTTCACTATCTGAGTTTGCTCAAACTCATGTCCATTGACATACCATTCACCTGACATGTCCAAACTCATGACTATAGAGTCAGTGATTGCCATACATCTCATCCTCTCTTGCCCCTTCTCCTCTTGCCCTCAATTTTCCCCAGCATCAGGGTCTTTTCCAATGAGTCAGCTCTTGGCATCAGGTGGCCAAAGTATTGGAGCTTCAGCATCAGTCTTTCCAGTGAATATTCAGAACTGATTTCCTTTAGGATTGACTGGTTGGATATCCTTGCAGTCCAAGAGACTCTCAAGAGTCTTCTCCAGCACCACAGTTCAAAAGCATCAATTCTTTTGTGCTCGGCCTTCTTTATGGTCCAACTCTCAAATCCATACATGACTACTGGAAAAACCATAGCTTTTACTATATGGATCTTTGTCAGCAAAGTGATGTCTCTGCTTTTTAATAAGCTGTATAGGTTTGTCATAGCTATTCTTCCAAGGAGCAAGTGTCTTTTAATTTCATGGCTGCAGTCATCATCCACATTGATTTCGGAGCCCAGGAAAATGAAATCCGACACTGTTTCCACATTTTCCCCATCTATTTGCCATGAAGTGATGGGACCGGATGCCACAATCTTAGTTTTTTGAATGTTGAGTTTTAAGCCAGCATTTTCACTCTCTTCTTTCACCTTTGTCAGAGGTTCTTTTGTTCCTCTTCACTTCCTGCCATTGAAGTGGTATCATCTAAATATCTGAGGTTGTTGATATTTCTTCTGGCAATCTTGATTCCAGCTTGTGATTCATTCAGCTTACTGTTATTTTCTAGTATGTGCTGTGCTGTGCTTAGTCATGTCCGACTCTTTGTGACCCCATGGGTTGTAGCCTGCCAGGCTCCTCTGTCCATGGAGATTCTCCAGGCAAGAATACTGGAGTGAGTTGCCATGCCCTCTTCCAGGAGATCTTCCCAACCCAGGGATCAAGCCCAGGTCTCCCTCATTGTAGACAAATTCTTTACCATCTGAACCATCAGGGAAGTCCATGAATACTGGAGTGGGTCACCTATCCCTTTCCAGGGGATCTTCCCAACCCAAGAATCAAACCAGGGTCTCCTGCATTGCAGGAGGATTCTTTACCTACCAGGGAAGCCCATTTTCTAGTATAACAATAAATAATTAGAGAAGTTAGGTGTCACTTCAGTTATCTTTGAGGCCTATGGTCAGGCAAGAATACAAACAGATGAGAATGAGAAACAGTTGTTTATTTTGGTAGCCACTGTCAATATTCCTGCTCTCCTTCTGGGAACACTGGAGGATTTCATTTCCTTGCTACCTTGAGCTTTGATTTTCTTTGATCAAATACATGTGAATGATATATATCACTTCCAATCAGAAACAGATAATTGCCAGTGAAAGATTGCCTTCTGCTGTCTTTTCCTGTTGTGGCATTTATGGAAGTACAGGTTGATGCTGAGATGCCATTGATCAAAATATTCTGGGATGCTGAGCCAACATGTGGAGAAAAGCTGTCCTAGACAGTCTCCCTAAACCACAGAGGACTTTGTCAGAGATAAAATTGTGTTTATTTAAAATGGAGATAGTCAATATACAGCAACATGGTCATTGGGGTTCCACTGCCATTAAGCTAATGTGAGCAGAACACATTTTACAAGAAGAGCATTACAACAGGTAGTTTATACAACTGATAGGAGAACATTATTATTGACCCTTTCACTAAAGTATCTGACCATTAAGTAGATTAGATAACTTGGATTTCATGGAAAAATAATTGTGTAGTGATTTCTTTTTATATAAAAATCAGGAGAAGAAAAATAATAAACTGAATTTAAAATGTCTTAGGCACCTCTTTTTTTTTTCTTGCCTATCATCCATTTCCGTTTCTTGTTTTCTTCCTTCTGGGGCTTTATTGTAGTTTTGTGAAAGACGTGAATGAGCATTTTTGAAGAATGAATGCTCAGAGACATAAAATCATAGGGAGTTGACAGTTTGCTTTGGTAAGTGCAAAGGGTATTCTTTTAGCAATGGATACTATATTGGTTTTGTAGTGCTTTTGTATGTAACAAATTACCACAACCTTGGGGGCTTGAAACAACACAACAGAAATGTATACTCTCACAGTTCTAGAGGCCAGAAGTCCAACAAGGTGTTGACAGGGCCATGTTGCTTCTGCAGACTGCAGGGGGAGAACTCTTCCCGGCCTCTTCCAGGTTGTGGTGGCTCCAGCCATTCCGTGACTCATGGCAGTGTAACTCTAGTTTCTGTCTCAGTGTTCACAGTCCCTTCTTTCACATGCCTCTGTGCACTTTTTTCTGTCTCTTTTAAGGATATTTGTCATTGGATTTGTGACCCACCCAAATCTAGGATAATGCTAAGATTAGGGTTATCTTAATTATGTCTGTAAAGATCTCTATTCAAAATAAAGACACATTTTAAGGTTCTGAGTGGATATATCTTTTGGGAGCTACTATTCCAAACACTACAGATACAAAGAAATGTCAAGCTTATTGGCTGAGCTTGACCAAGTATTGGCACTTCAGCTCAGCATCAGTCCTTCTAGTGAATATTCAGGGTTGATTTCCTTTAGAACTGACTGATTTAATCTCCTTACTGTCCAAGGGACTCTTAAGAGTCTTCTTCAGCACCACAGTTTGAAGTATCAGTTCTTCAGCATTCAACCTTCTTTGTGGTTGTGACCTCCTTAGAGTAACTGAACATAACTTTTATGCGTTTTGAAGACTGACTTACCGTCAATTCATTTTGTTTTATCCCTATGTTATCTTTGTCATATTTTCATATCATTTGTGTATGAAGGGGACAGCTAAGAATTATTAAAGTAAGATATTCTCAACATTAAAAAGAGATCAGTTGTACTGTTCTTGAATAAAAATCCAAATGTAGTAGAAAAAGAGATATTCTTAATTAAGAATACATTATCCAGATGAGGAAAATGAATTATTAATTTACAAACATCTGTGAATAGTCCAGAAAGCAAAATTAAATCACAAAAGCAAAAATGAAATCTATAAATATATTTTCAATTTATAAAGTATAAACTAAAATATCCTTTGATTTCTATGTACTTTACTTGAAGAAACAGAAAAAAATTTATGTTATATCCAAAAGAACTGAAAGCAGGGTCTCAGAGATATTTTCATGGTGGTGGTGGTTTAGTCGCTAAGTTGTGTCCGACTCCTGTGATCCCATGGACAGAGGAGCCTGGCAGGCTACAGTCCATGGGATTCTCCAGGCAAGAATACTGGTGTGGGTTGCCATTTCCTTCTCCAGGGGATCTTCCCAACCCAGGAATCGAACCCCGGGTCTCCTGCGTTGTAGGCAGCTTCTTTACCAACTGAGCTACAAGGGAAGCCCATATTTTCATACCCATGCTTATAACAGCACTATTCTCAATAGCTAAGAGGTGGAAGCAACCCAGATATCCATGGACAGATGGATGAATGAATAAACAAAATGTGGTATACAAAAAACATCAGAATATTATTTGGCATTATAAATAAGGAAATTTATCACATGCTACAACATGGATGAACCTTGAGGATATGCTAAAGGCATATAATCCAGTCACAGACAAACTGTGAGCTTTCACTTATGTAGGTACCTAGAGTAGTCAAATTTGTAGAAACAGAAAGTAGAATGGTGGTGAGAGGGGTGCAGTGTGTTGGAAAAGGGGAGTTGTTTTCTAATGGGTATAGAGATTCATGTTTGCAAGATCCAAGTTCTCAAGATATTTCACAACAATGTGACTATAACAAACTAAACTGTATACTTAAAAGTGGATGAAATGGTACATTTTCTTATATATATTTAACACAGTAAAAGGGGGAAAATGATATATTGCAGTTTAAGATAGGTATTTTTCCTAAATGAAAGCTATCAGTAAACTTAGCCTAGACAATTGCTAAAATTTAAATCTACAGAATCAACAGTAGAGCCTAGATTTTGGCCACATGATGTCGCTGTCTTACCACAGTATATTTCTAAGAAGAAAAATACCCAGAACCCTATTGTAACTCCAGCGAGAACAATAAGAGAAGCAGCAGGACTTGAACAGAGATTAGAGGACAACAGTTAAAATTTTGCACAACACGATATTCTATTTTGATCAACTCACTGAGAACTGGTGATGGTGTCTTCTAAGAGAAGGGGCGTGGAGGTATGGCATCTGTTTCTGCTGCTTCTGCTCTTAGCTGTAGGCGAGGCCGGGAGCGGCCAGGTCCGCTACTCAGTCCCTGAGGAGGCCAAACACGGCACTTTCGTGGGCCGCATCACCCAGGACCTGGGACTGGAGCTGGCGGAGCTGGTGCCGCGCTTGTTCCGGGTGGCATCCAAAGGCCGCAGGGACCTTCTGGAAGTAAATCTGCAGAATGGCATTTTGTTCGTGAATTCTCGGATCGACCGGGAGGAGCTGTGCGGGCGGAGCGCGGAGTGCAGCATCCACCTGGAGGTGATCGTGGACCGGCCGCTGCAGGTGTTCCACGTGGAGGTGGAGGTGAAGGACATTAACGACAACCCGCCAGCATTTCCAGTGGCGGTAAAGACTATCCGTTTTCCCGAATCGAGACTGCTTGACTCACGGTTTCCTCTAGAGGGGGCATTTGATGCAGATATCGGAGTAAATGCTCTTCTCACCTACAAGCTCAGCTCCAGTGAGTTTTTCTTTCTAGATGTACAGACAAATGATGAACTAAGTCAGTCTTTGTCTCTTGTGCTGAGGAAATCTCTGGACAGAGAGGAAACTGCTGAAATTAATTTGTTACTCGTGGCTACTGATGGGGGCAAACCTGAGCTCACGGGCACCGTTCAGTTGCTTATTAAGGTATTAGATGTGAATGACAACGAACCTACTTTTGACCAATCAGTTTACAAAATACAGCTGTTAGAGAACGTAGCAAACGGAACCTTGGTGATTAAATTAAATTCTTCTGATGCAGATGAAGGATCAAACAGTGAGATTATGTATTCATTTAGTAGTGATGTGTCCCCCAATATAAAGACCAAGTTCAATATAGATCCCAGCTCAGGGGAAATCAGAACTAAGGGACAATTAGATTATGAAGACGTGAAATTCTATGAGATTCAAGTTATTGCGTATGACAACGGTAATCCGTCAATGTCTGGGCACTGTAAAATTTCAGTAAAACTTGTGGACATCAATGATAACTCACCAGAAGTCTCAATCACGTCTCTTTCACTTCCTATTCGAGAGGATGCTCCACTGGGCACTGTCATTGCTCTCATCACGGTGGCCGACCGTGACTATGGTGCCAATGGACAGGTGACCTGCACCCTGATCCCCCAAGACCTCTTCAAATTGGTGTCCACCTTCAAGAATTACTATTCACTCGTGTTGGACAGCGTCTTGGATCGCGAGAGCGTGGCGAACTATGAGGTGGTGGTGACTGCAAGGGATGGGGGCTCGCCTTCGCTGTCGACCATGGCCAGCGTGTCCGTGGAGGTGGCCGACGTGAACGACAATGCACCTGCGTTCCCACAGCCCGAGTACACCGTGTTCGTGAAGGAGAACAACCCGCCCGGCTGCCACATCTTCACCGTGTCTGCGCGGGACGCGGACGCGCAGGAGAACGCGCTGGTGTCCTACTCGCTGGTGGAGCGGCGGGTGGGCGAGCGCGCGCTGTCGAGCTACGTGTCGGTGCACGCGGAGAGCGGCAAGGTGTACGCGCTGCAGCCGCTGGACCACGAGGAGCTGGAGCTGCTGCAGTTCCAGGTGAGCGCGCGCGACGCGGGCGTGCCGCCCCTGGGCAGCAACGTGACGCTGCAGGTGTTCGTGCTGGACGAGAACGACAACGCGCCTGCGCTGCTGCCGCCCGGGCCAGGCGGAGGACCCAGCGCGGTGAGCCAGGTGGTGTCGAGGTCCGTGGACGCGGGCCACGTGGTGGCGAAGGTGCGCGCGGTGGACGCGGACTCGGGCTACAACGCGTGGCTGTCGTACGAGCTGCAGCCGGCGGCGGGTGGCGCGCGCAGCCCGTTCCGCGTGGGGCTGTACACCGGCGAGATCAGCACGACGCGCGCCCTGGACGAGGCGGACGCACCGCGCCAGCGCCTGTTTGTGCTGGTGAAGGACCACGGCGAGCCGGCGCTGACGGCCACGGCCACCGTGCTGCTGTCGCTGGAGGACAGCGGCCAGGCGCCCAAGGCCTCTTCGCGGGCGTTGTCTGGCGCGGCTGAAGCGGAGGCCGTTCTGGTGGATGTGAACGTGTACCTGATCGTCGCCATCTGCGCGGTGTCCAGCCTGTTGGTGCTCACGCTGCTGCTGTACACGGCGCTGCGGTGCTCGGCGCCGCCCAGCGAGGGCGCGTGCGGGCCGGGGAAGCCCAGGCTGGTGTGCTCCAGCGCGGTGGGGAGCTGGTCTTACTCGCAGGAGAGGCGGCAGAGGGTGTGCTCTGGGGAGGGGCCGCCCAAGACCGACCTCATGGCCTTCAGTCCTAGTCTTCCATCTGGTCCCATTAGTGGAGACAGAGAAGAGCAGCTGGATGTGGAGACTGATCTTCCTGCCAAAGTGAGTAATTTTTAAAAATCCTTTCAAAAATGTCTTTGTTCTTAATTCACTATTTCTGCTTCTTCTGAAGCATTTTTACCAGTAATTAGTCTTGTTTCTGGCAGTAGACTTTTCCATGTATTGGTTTTGTGGTTAAAATATTTGAATTTCTTGTGACTAATAAATGGTTTTGAAGCAAATCAGCAGTAAGTTGTGAGTACCATACTTGCCAGTGTTTAAAAATCGCTGGAGGATTATTATATTGCTAAAAGTCTGGATAGAAAAATATATATATTTTCCAGGATACTTTGCATTTTTTACAATATTTGACTTAAATGTGGTATACTAATACCTGCACAATGCTTCAATAGCTAATGGTACTTTTCATTTGAAATTTGGAGTAGACGTTAGTCCAAATGTCACTGACTCTTATAGTTTTTTTTTAAACCTGTTGTCTCCTATAGATCCCCTTTACTCATTTATCTATTTATTTGGATTCTCATTTCTTCTTTCTACTTGAACATGATGTTTTGAGTTTTGTTTTCACATTTTGCAATACTCGGTATTGTTTCTAGTTTTCCAATTGGGTAAAAAAGCTAAAATAGTAAATTTATTGCTTTTAGAATTGTATCTTTTTCATCTTCAGTTTCTTACTACTTTTTATTTACTTAATTACTTATTTACTTAATAAGCATTAAGAAATCAACAGGAAGTGAATTTTAATACTCCCTTTAGTATATCATCATTTAGAAAATGTTGCTTTTGGAAGAGTATTATTAATCTTGTTAAGAACTATTATTTTCTACCTGCACAGTGTTGGAAAAATACTGTACATCTCATTTAAAAGCCATTCCACTAGCAAAACTTATTGTCATTAATCTCTTTTACATACAGTATTAAGGATGCTAATATCCAAAAAGTTCAATGTCATTACTGGTGACCTTCCTCTGAATACCAACCCATTAATGTATGTCATATAGTAAGTACAAAGTTCCAAATAACTGGAAGTAAAATTATTTTCCATTCATACCATTCATTGATATTTGTTCAGTTCTCCTAGTAAATTGGTGGACTCCCATTGATGTTTCTTTGCCACTGGGAACCAAAGCTTAGGCATGTTAGTGACTGGAGAATGGGCAAGTATTTCTAAACCATTAGAGACAAAAATGAAGACACTAACCTTTCTCATGGGAGGGGAACATGTTCCCATGTATTCCATTCTAATTATATGGAATACTTTTCTACACAAGGTATGCACTCTACAACTTCCTACTTCCTTGGTAGGAAGTTTCCTTGGTAAAAGCTGGTTAATACTCAATGACATTGTAGGGGAGGCTAACATATAAAATAGATAATCCTGCATTTTCCCACTTCCATTTCCACTCTCTGGCTCTGTCCTTTGTGACCCCCTGTCCATCAATTCAGACTTCCCTGGTGGCTCAGATAGTAAAGCATCTGTCTACAATGCAGGAGACCTGGGTTCAATCCCTGGGCCGGGAAGATTCTCTGGAGAAGGACAGTATGAGCCACAGCATGTCCAACCTCAGCTCACTATTTATTTTATTAGGTATCATTTTCATCCTGTTGTAAATAATAGGGCCATCCAGAGTTCTTGTCTTTCAGGATATGGGACTTTGGTCTTCAAATTCAGTTCTCCTCTTCAAATTCTTGACTAACATGAGTCTCAGCTAATAAGACATTTTAAAAACTTTTGAATTTTTCCCTTTAGAGATGTGTTGCTACTATACCAGGTAAATACTGAATAGTTCCCAAATATCCTTTCTATTCTTCGGCATTCTTTATCTACTTATTTAATTATTGGCAAAATAGAGTAAATGGTCAACGATTCTTTTTTACTTTGTTCCAGTGTTTAATACCAATTATTTTGCACAAATCTATAGGTTGGGCCCTGTAACTGAAACTACTTTATGTTTTAATTCAGAAAAAAAAATGATGGTGGTGAGGAGTGTGACTTTTCCTAGAATGGGAGCCTAGGGCTATTTTCACTAGATTGATTTGATTTTTTTTTCTTTTTTTGGCTTCACCATGCACATGCTGGGGATCTTAGTTCTCCAACCAGGGATCCAACCCTTGCCCCTTTCAGTGGAAGTGCAGAGTCCTAATGACTGGACTGCCAGGGAAGTCCCAGATTGATGTTTTTTTGTCCTAGACAACTAAGGAGTATGTGGTTTATGAACAGAAGAGTCAAAGTTTGAAAATAACTACCATTATGTCCTTCTATATTGGTGTGTGTGTGTGTGTGTGTGTGTGTGTGAGAGAGAGAGAGAGAGAGAAGGGTATATTGTGCTGTGTTATTTGGGAATGCTTAATTGACAATCAGAACTATTAATGTCTCAAGGATCATGCTTGCCAAGAACTGGAAAGAAAACTAACCTGAAATCCATGTTTTCAATATGGCAATTGAAATATATCTTACATAGAGCAGTGCCTAAGGAAAATATTTCCTTTATCTCTGGAAGTTTATAGAGGTTGCTGAGACATCATATTTTCCTAACTAGCTACATGATCACCTTAATTTAAAGCATTTTATTAAGCAATAGAAGAAAACCAAACTATTCTATTCAGTAAATATTCACTAACTACTCAATAAGTATTCTGAATATTAAAATATTATGATAAAATATTCTCTTTAAAATTTTACATTAAAAAATTTATACCCAAATACCTAAAAAAATGGCCAATGTGATTGATCTAGATGCTATAATATAAAAGCAAGTAAAGATGCTTGCCCAGTTGACTTAATCATGACGGTCTTCCTTGGTCAAGGAAGTTTTAAGTTGTTATATAATGGGGGAAGAGTGCTTTTAGAAGATTTTGGAAATGCGGGATATTACTTAGGCAGAGAATGAAATGACTATATTTGTTTAGCAAAAAATGTTATTGGAAGCAGGAAATTGTCCACCTTGACTAGACTATATGAGTACTCTAGGAGAAACATAAGTTGAGGCATATTAGGTCCTGAAGAACAAGCAAGTGTTTATAAACCATGAGAGCCAAAATGAGAATACCAGTGTTGTTCATGGGAGGTGAATTTGTTGCAGTGAATGAAATTATTTGGAATACTTTCCAACACAAATTGTATACTGCAATATCCTACTTGCCTGTTAAAGCTTCATTGTCCTCAGCCCTTAGATTATTTAAGGATGACTCTCAATTAGTTGCTGATGGTCTTTGCTTCCTTTTTTGAATATTTTTTGAAATTCCCTTTCAATTACCTATTTCTGAGATCAGAGTTTTCCTAGAGATGTATTCTCTGAAGTCTTCAATAACCAGAATGTAAAATCCAATGATGAATAGTGTCATCATTAATAATTACCTTCCTTCACTCTCAGGAACACAAAAATGTCACAGATTTTCCTAGCCAACACTTTGCCAACTGTATAAAGTGTTATGTTAACTACAGCTGGGTCTCTGTAAATACTTAAAACTTGTATGAAAAAAGTATTTCCACTGAAGTGAAATCTGCTCCTGTGGTGAAACTAAGGATCACACACAGTCAATCAGTAGTGCAAAATGTGTACTGCAGTAGTATAAAATGTGATTCTATTCTCCAAGGGCATTAAAATCCACGGAAAGGCAGAAAGAAAAATGAAGACTTAACAGTTCTTAGTATGGATTTCCAGAATCTGTTACTTACGGTTTTGAGCCACATGATGTCGCTCTGTACCATAAAATTGATACCATAAAGCAAGAAAGAAAGAAAGAAAGAAAGAAAGAAAGAAAGAAAGAAATTCCTCCTGTTCTTATGGTAAAGAAGCTGCATCCACCACTGAAAAAATGGAGTCTGCAATGGCATTGGACTGAACGGTCAGGAGGTAGTGCTTCGTTTGGAAACAAGACCCTCTTCATGAGAACAAAACACTGAGGACATGAGATGGAGTTTTCCTGGGGAACTGGCCAGGAATACCGGCGTCTGCTGCTCTCAATTCTATTCCTCGCAGCCTGGAAGGCCGGGAGCGGCCAGGTCCGCTACTCTGTCCTGGAAGAGGCCAAACACGGTACCTTTGTGGGCCGAATCGCTCAGGACCTGGGGTTGGAGCTGGCGGAACTGGTGCCGCGCCTGTTTCGTGTGTCATCCAAAGGCCGCGGGGACCTTCTGGAGGTTAATCTGCAGAGTGGCATTTTGTTCGTGAATTCTCGGATCGACCGGGAGGAGCTGTGCGGGCGGAGCGCGGAGTGCAGCATCCACCTGGAGGTGATTGTGGACCGGCCGCTGCAGGTGTTCCATGTGGAGGTGGAGGTGAAGGACATTAACGACCATCCTCCTGTGTTCCCAGGAACACAAAAGATTCTGTTTATGGCTGAATCTAGGCCGCTTGACTCTCGATTTCCGCTAGAGGGCGCCTCTGATGCAGACATTGGCGCCAACGCTCTGCTGACTTACAGGCTGGGTCCCAATGAATATTTCTCGTTGGAAAAACCATCCGATGAGGAGAGGGTAAAACGTCTTGGGCTGGTATTAAGGAAACCTTTAGACAGAGAAGACGCTCCGGAGATTTTTGTGGTGCTTACCGCCTCTGATGGCGGCAAACCTGAACTGACTGGCACTGTTCAATTACTCGTCAGCGTGCTGGACGCCAACGACAACGCCCCAACTTTCGACAGAACACTCTATGAAGTGAAATTACTAGAAAACGTTCCTAACGGAACGTTGGTAATTAAACTTAACGCCTCAGATTTAGACGAAGGCTTGAATGGGAATATTATTTATTCATTCTCAGCTGATATTTTACCCACTGTGAAATCCAAATTCTACATGGATCCAATTACTGGGGAAATTATGGTAAAGGGATATATTGATTTTGAAGAAACCAAATCCTATGAAATTCTTGTAGAGGGCATTGATAAGGGGCAGCCGCCACTTTCTGGCCATTGTACAGTTATGGTGGAAGTTGAAGACACCAATGATAATGCCCCAGCAATGGAATTCAAATTCTTGTCACTCCCAATTAGGGAAGACGCTCCACTGGGCACCGTCATGGCCTTGATAAGTGTGTCTGACCTCGACTCCAGTGTCAATGGGCAGGTGACTTGTACCCTATCGCCCCACGTCCCATTCAGGCTGGTGTCCACCTTCAGGAACTACTATTCACTCGTTTTGGACAGCACCTTGGATCGCGAGAAAGTGTCGGTCTATAAATTGGCGGTGACCGCTCAAGACGGGGGGTCGCCTTCCTTGTCCACCACAGCCAGCGTGTCCGTGGAGGTGGCCGACGTGAACGACAACGCGCCCGCGTTCGCGCAGCCCGAGTACACCGTGTTCGTGAAGGAGAACAACCCGCCCGGCTGCCACATCTTTACCGTGTCGGCGCGAGACGCGGACGCGCAGGAGAACGCGCTGGTGTCCTACTCGCTGGTGGAGCGGCGGGTGGGCGAGCGCGCGCTGTCGAGCTACGTGTCGGTGCACGCGGAGAGCGGCAAGGTGTACGCGCTGCAGCCGCTGGACCACGAGGAGCTGGAGCTGCTGCAGTTCCAGGTGAGCGCGCGCGACGCGGGCGTGCCGCCCCTGGGCAGCAACGTGACGCTGCAGGTGTTCGTGCTGGACGAGAACGACAACGCGCCTGCGCTGCTGCCGCCCGGGCCAGGCGGAGGACCCAGCGCGGTGAGCCAGGTGGTGTCGAGGTCCGTGGACGCGGGCCACGTGGTGGCGAAGGTGCGCGCGGTGGACGCGGACTCGGGCTACAACGCGTGGCTGTCGTACGAGCTGCAGCCGGCGGCGGGTGGCGCGCGCAGCCCGTTCCGCGTGGGGCTGTACACCGGCGAGATCAGCACGACGCGCGCCCTGGACGAGGCGGACGCGCCGCGCCAGCGCCTGCTGGTGCTGGTAAAGGACCACGGCGAGCCGGCGCTGACGGCCACGGCCACCGTGCTGCTGTCGCTGGAGGACAGTGGCCAGGCTCCCAAGGCCTCTTCGCGGGCGTTGTCTGGTGCAGCTGGCGCAGAGACGGCGTTAGTGGATGTGAACGTGTACCTGATCGTCGCCATCTGCGCGGTGTCCAGCCTGTTGGTGCTCACGCTGCTGCTGTACACGGCGCTGCGGTGCTCGGCGCCGCCCAGCGAGGGCGCGTGTGGGCCGGGGAAGCCCAGGCTGGTGTGCTCCAGCGCGGTGGGGAGCTGGTCTTACTCGCAGGAGAGGCAGCAGAGGGTGTGCTCTGGGGAGGGGCCGCCCAAGACCGACCTCATGGCCTTCAGCCCCAGCCTACCAGCCTGTCCAGTAGTGATGGATATGGGCGAGCATCAGGATTTAAAGGATGATGGTCTTTCCAAAGTAAGTCTGAATTTCATAATTACCAGTTGATTTTTTAAAATGTTTTCATTATTTTCCTTGGGTTTATGTTTAAACTTGACTATTTCAACAAATTGAGTAATTTTGAATTATATGCATTTTTTCTTCGTTAATTATTATAATCTCTTTGGTTTTTTAAACTTGAGTAGAGTGGCAGACATTATTAAAACATCATTATACACGTCAAGATTTTTGTCTCAAAACTAAAAATTTCCTTAGATAACCAGTTGTGGTACATTTTAAAAATGCATTGGTAGTATTTTTCCTTATTAATTTTGTAGACTTTGATAACTTTGCATTTGAACTTCAGGAGAGTTATTTCACACTCATTTTAATTGATATATTATTTCAACATCACTTTATTATAGTTTTATCCTTCTGCTTCCTTCTTCCTTCCTTTCCTTCTCTCTTCTTTGATGCTTCTGCTTAGCCAACACTTTCAATTATCTAGTTTGTTTAATGACTGTCTTCATCATATCTTAAATCTATATTCCTTTTTGGGCCTGGTGATTCCAAGAGTCCAAGAATTTGTAGTGCTTATTTACTGTTGTCCTTTTAAATGATTTCGAGACAACATACATAATAATAGTTATCCCAATAACTAATATTCTTCTTTTCAAAAATTATTTATTTATTGCTTTGCTGGATCTTCATTACTGTGTGGGTTTTACTCTCGTTTTGGAGAGCAAGGGCTACTCTTTAGCTGTGGAGCCTGGGCTTCTCATTGTAAAGGCTTCTCTTGTTGCCGATCACAGGTTCTAGAGCTGGTGGGCTCAGTATTTTCAGTTCCTGGACTCTAGTGCACAGGCTCAATAGTTGTGGTTCATGAGCTTAGTTGCTCTGGGCATGTGGGATCTTCCTGGATCAGGGATTGAACCCATGTCTCCTGCATTAGCAGGCAGATTCTTTACCTCTGAGCCTCCAGTGAGGCCCAGAATACTTCTGATTGGGATGAAAAAGTGAATGGGGAAATTTCACACTCTTTCAACTACCATGTGATACCCATGTTATTGCTCAGCTTATCAGGGATCCAAATATTTGACAATAATTCAATAGAATGTGGACTTTAAACAAGTAAATTCATGTGACATGTGCATTGAGTTCTCAGACACTGAAAACCCCTTATTTATGTTTGACTTTTATTTGATGGGCTCCTTTTTATAGAGTTTATTTCTTCTAATTTAATAATTTCATTATTTATTCTGTTTTATGATTTAAAGTATACATCATTTCTCTACATGCAAGAAACAGATAGTAGTGTAAATTTTTGTAAGTTCTGAAAATGATGCTGTGCCGAGAATCATTGAGTTAACAAGACCCAGCCCCTGGCTTCAAGAAGTTGGTAGAAAAATAAAGATATTTGTCATACATAAATATGATCATCATAGAAGGCTGAATATTATAACAGGTACAAGAAATGTAAATCACTGTGAGTAGATTGAAAAGAAATAACTGCCTATTTTTCTATTTGAAGAAACCCTTCAAGAGGTGTGATATTTTTAGTGGTTTGTAAATGGGTAAGTTTCCTTTGAGAGAATACTGAGTATAATAGGTATTCTTGGGAACAGAGGAACTTAAAGAAATGAGTACATACAAAATCCGAAATGTACCTGGACACAGAGAATAGTCTGTTTTGGTTAAAACATACGGTTTCCATAGGAAAGAGTATGTGATAAAGCAGGAAAAGTAATGTGAGAAAAATTTCTTGGGTAATTTGAGTACTTCACTAAGAAATTTTGATCACCTCTCATTATTTTGAAAGGTATAAAAAATGTGAATCAATAGGAATAAAAGGTGTTTTTCACTAAGATGACTGTCAGGATTAAGAGAAGGATAAAGGAGTTGTGACAAGATGATACAATAAGAATCTATTGCAATAATTCAGGACAGCAACAATATTTAAAACCCATTTAGGCCCATGTAAAACTTGGAGAGCATTAGAATACAGATGTTAATTATTTTATTTGCATTGGGAACATAGGAGTGAAATATTTAAAAAAAAACCTCACTCTGTTAAGTAGAAGTAAAAAGGGTAAAACACCCCAAGCTTGATTAAAGTCTGCTTTCTTAAGAAAAGAATGTGGATTATTTCCTCATATTCCTTGCTCCCCCAAACAAACAACCTTTCTAAGTTTATCTTCCATTAGATTCTTGAGATCCTGGGTCCCTAGAGAGACCAGGAATTTTCTTAAAATAAGCAGAAAAAAATTGAATTTTCTGAATTGTGAACTAAGGATTTTAAAATTTAGTATTGCTAACATAATGCAATTTTTCACTAATTTTTTATCCTAATTTTAAACGTTTTGTAAAGAACATATTTTCAAGGCATGAGGAAGCCACAATTATGGTCATATTAAATATTAGGCACATAAATCTCCTAATAAAGCCTTAAGCAAGCATGATAAATATGGTCCTACACTTGAAGAAAATTAAAGAAAAATTCAGAAGTTGAAACAAAACCTCGAGTCCTAATAATACAAAGCTGATTTTTTATTTTGTACTTACTATTTGGGCCACATGATGTCGCTCTTTACTGTAAAATTGTCTCAGTTGAAGACAGAATTAAGTCACATTGCAAGGAGTCTCCACTCTGTTTTAATATTCGGAGGTTGAACAATGGCGAACACATCATGAAAATAAAGAAGGGATAAGAAGATTCCTCTAAATTTTGGAACAAGATACACTGATTGGAAGAAAATCCCAATAATTTGAGATGTACTCAATTCTAGGCGACTTGGGGAACAGACATCTATTGCTATTTTTTATAAGTCTCTCGATCTGGATGACAGCAAGCGGCCAGGTCCGCTACTCTGTCCTGGAGGAGGCCAAACACGGCACCTTCGTGGGCCGCATCGCCCAGGACCTGGGACTGGAGCTGGAGGAGCTGGTGCCGCGCCTGTTCCGGGTGGCGTCCAAAGACCTTGGGGACCTTCTGGAGGTAAATCTGCAGAATGGCATTTTGTTTGTGAATTCTCGGATCGACCGGGAGGAGCTCTGCGGGCGGAGCGCGGAGTGCAGCATCCACCTGGAGGTGATCGTGGACCGGCCGCTGCAGGTGTTCCACGTGGAGGTGGAGGTGAAGGACATTAACGACAACCCGCCTGTGTTCCAGGGGACACAAAAGAATCTGTTTATCGCTGAATCCAGGCCGCTTGACTCTCGGTTTCCACTAGAGGGCGCCTCCGACGCAGATATCGGGGAGAACGCTCTGTTGACTTACAGGCTGAGCTCCAGTGAGTATTTCTCTCTGGACGTACCAACCACCGACCAACAGGTAAAACCTCTCAGTCTTGTGTTACGCAAACCTTTAGACAGGGAAGAATCTCCGGAACTTCATTTAGTGCTCACGGCCACTGACAGAGGCAAACCTGAGCTGACTGGCACCGTTCAGTTACTCATCCACGTGCTAGACGTCAATGACAACGCTCCAGTTTTTGATAGAACACTCTATGCTGTGAAATTAGCAGAAAACGTCCCTAATGGGACGCTGGTAATTAAACTTAACGCCTCAGATTTAGACGAAGGCTTGAATGCGGATATTATTTATTCATTCTCTAGTGACGCTTCTCCTGATGTAAAATTTAAATTCTACATAGACCCTGTAAGTGGGGAAATTACAGTTACAGAACACATCGATTTTGAAGAAAGAAAAACCTACAAAATCCGAGTAGAGGCGACTGATAAAGGCTACCCACCCTTGGCTGGTCACTGTACAGTTCTTGTGGAAGTTTTGGATGTTAATGACAATCCTCCAGTGTTGACTGTCACTTCCCTGTCCCTTCCTATCTCAGAGAATGCTCAGCCAGGCACAGTCATAACCTTGATTAACGTGTCTGACCGAGATTCTGGAGCAAATGGACAGGTGACCTGTTCTCTGACTCCTCATGTCCCCTTCAAGCTCGTGTCCACTTTCAAGAATTACTATTCGCTGGTCCTGGACAGTGCCTTGGATCATGAAAGCGTAGCGAACTATGAATTAGTGGTCACCGCGAGGGATGGGGGATCGCCTTCGTTGTGGGCCACCGCCAGCGTGTCCGTGGAGGTGGCCGACGTGAACGACAATGCGCCCGCTTTCCCGCAGCCCGAGTACACCGTGTTCGTCAAGGAGAACAACCCGCCCGGCTGCCACATCTTCACCGTGTCTGCGCGGGACGCGGACGCGCAGGAGAACGCGCTGGTGTCCTACTCGCTGGTGGAGCGGCGGGTGGGCGAGCGCGCGCTGTCGAGCTACGTGTCGGTGCACGCGGAGAGCGGCAAGGTGTACGCGCTGCAGCCGCTGGACCACGAGGAGCTGGAGCTGCTGCAGTTCCAGGTGAGCGCGCGCGACGCGGGCGTGCCGCCCCTGGGCAGCAACGTGACGCTGCAGGTGTTCGTGCTGGACGAGAACGACAACGCGCCTGCGCTGCTGCCGCCCGGGCCAGGCGGAGGACCCAGCGCGGTGAGCCAGGTGGTGTCGAGGTCCGTGGACGCGGGCCACGTGGTGGCGAAGGTGCGCGCGGTGGACGCGGACTCGGGCTACAACGCGTGGCTGTCGTACGAGCTGCAGCCGGCGGCGGGTGGCGCGCGCAGCCCGTTCCGCGTGGGGCTGTACACCGGCGAGATCAGCACGACGCGCGCCCTGGACGAGGCGGACGCGCCGCGCCAGCGCCTGCTGGTGCTGGTAAAGGACCACGGCGAGCCGGCGCTGACGGCCACGGCCACCGTGCTGCTGTCGCTGGAGGACAGTGGCCAGGCTCCCAAGGCCTCTTCGCGGGCGTTGTCTGGTGCAGCTGGCGCAGAGACGGCGTTAGTGGATGTGAACGTGTACCTGATCGTCGCCATCTGCGCGGTATCCAGCCTGTTGGTGCTCACGCTGCTGCTGTACACGGCGCTGCGGTGCTCGGCGCCGCCCAGCGAGGGCGCGTGTGGGCCGGGGAAGCCCAGGCTGGTGTGCTCCAGCGCGGTGGGGAGCTGGTCTTACTCGCAGGAGAGGCAGCAGAGGGTGTGCTCTGGGGAGGGGCCGCCCAAGACCGACCTCATGGCCTTCAGCCCCAGCCTGCCTCCATTCCCAGGTGCTGAAGCCTTAGGCAAACAGCAAGACTTAAATGTTGATCATTGCACGGAAGTAAGTCTATTTATATTTATATTATAATTATTTATGGTGAAATTTCATAATTACTTTAAAAATATTTCATATATTTTCTTTTAAAATGTATTGCAAATTTCATAGTTCTATATCAAACATTATTTTGGTTTATAAATATCTACAATTAATCAGTTTCTCCAGATTTATAGAAATAGTTGCTGTATAACATTCCCCATAAGGTGTAGAAGATGATAATTTTACATACGTGTATATAGTGAATTTAGTTGCAATTTCTCAGTGCTGTCCGACATTATTAACTAGTTTCCCAAGTTGGATTTCTGGTCAAATTAAAATTTTCATTGGATGAATTTCTTATTGGATGTGAGTTTATCCTTTGTAATGCCTCACTTTATGAACACTAAGAACATCCAGTGTATACGTATTCCTCCACATAGCATTTATTTTTCATGATTATGTATTGTGTATACTTTTTAACCTTCACATTTTATGTTTTGATAATATTGAAGTATTGTTTGGTAATTAGTTTTAATTTACTCACTTAAGGTTAGAGTCCATACATTTCACTTTCTTCTCTTTCTTACTATTGTTATATAGATATACAGATAATCTACAACTTTATATGTACTATTTTCAACCCAGGTCCCCCATATTTGGGGTTATTCTTTACCGTCTGAGCCACCAGGGAAGCCCATATTTACATAGAGTTTCTCTATTGGTATATTAAGCAGTTTAGTTATGTTATTTTTCAGTTGCTAAGTCATGTGCAACTCTGCAACCTCACGAATTGCAGCACACCAGGCTTCCATGTCCTTCATTATCTCTGGGAGTTTATTCTAACTCATGTCCATTGAGTCAGTGATGCCATCCAACCTCCTCATACTTTGTTGTCCCTTTCTCCTCTTGCCCTCAATCTTTCCCAGCATCAAGGTCTTTTCTAATGAGTCAGCTCTTTGGCTCTTGGCATCAGGTGCCCAAATATTGGAGCTTCAACATCAGTCCTTCCAATGAATATTCAGGGTTTATTTCCTTTAGGATTGACTGGTTTGATCTCCTTGCTGTATAAGGGATTCTCAAGAGTCTTCTCTAGCACCACAGTTCAAAAACATCAATTCTTCCACATTCAGCCTTCTTCATGGTCCAACTCTCACATGCATACATGACTACTGAAAAAACCATAGCTTTGATTACCTGTACCTTTGTTGGCAAAATGACATCTTTGCTTTTTAATAAACTGTCTAGTTTTGTAATAGCTTTCCTTCCAAGGAGCAAGCATCTTTTAGTTTAATGGCTGCAGTCACCATCCACAGTGATTTTGGAGCCCAAGAAAATAAAATCTGTCACTGTTTCCACATGGCTATTTGCCATGAGGTGATGGAACAGGATGCCATGATCTTAGTTTTTTGAATGTTGAGTTTTAAGCCAGTCTTTTCACTCTCCACTTTCACCCTTATCAAGAGGCTCTTTAGTTCCCCTTCACTTTCTGTCATTAGTGTCATCTAAATCTGAGTTTAGTTACAAAGAGTAATAATTTCTTGTCAAAATTTAAATGCTTTCATCCTATATTTATTATAGACCAGAAATTATAAAAATTGGTATTAAAAACATGAATAATAAAAATAGGAGCTATCAGGTTATTTCTTGGAGGTCCAATGTTTAGAACTCAGTGCTTTCACTACTGGAGACCCAAGTTTGTTGATCCCTAATAGGGGGAATAAGATTCTGCAAACTACTCAGCCAAAGAAAGAAAAAACCCCCAAAGAGAAAATACACAAAAAACTCACAATATCCTCTCAATACAATATCAAATAGATCATTTTACTATTTCAAGATATGTATTTTATTATCAGATAATTTTTGTCATGTCAATCATTTAATATGTTTTGAGGATGTAAGTATAGTGAATAATTGCTTTTAGACTGATAAAAATCTACTTAACTCTAATTATTAATATTGAATAAAATACTATCAGCTCTTTGTAGATGAGTTAGAGTAGTGTGGGAAAATATTTCTCATTGATTTTTATTTTATATATGACTTAGAAAAATATTTTGAATAGAAGAAGTATGTATTAATGCCATTCTTGGTGACCAACTGGTAAATTTATAAATTTTCTTTACATAGAATATGCAGATGTTAGGACCCATTAATTCAAGTAAAGGTCTTTAGTGTTATAGAGTAAAATTTTGAAAGTCCAAGAAAGTTTATTAGTTTGCCATTTCATGTTTTCATTTTCATTTTTGCTTCTTCTTGTCTTTTAAAAATATTTTTTCTTATAACTCTTTGACCTGCCTTGATGTTAATCTACAGCCATAGATTTTGAGCATTTTCCTTTGGAGAAAATGGTGGAATTTAATGGAATTGAATGAAGGGTTTCTGGTATTCTCAATTCTTATAATTTGTTATTAACATATTTCTTCATCTTATTATCAGTTATAGTCAGCAATATAATAATTTGTGATCTCATCTTATTTCCTTTGATCAATTGTAAGTAATCTGAAATCAGTGTTATTTTGCAGTTTATTTTTTATTTCTTACAATGCCATCACTGCCTATATTTGGTTATTAAAAGTACATGACATAAAAAGAATAACTTTAATTATAGTCTTCAACTTAAATGGCTGTGTACTGTTATATATGCTTATTTTTATTTACTGCTTGAATCAAATTTGGAGTTTTAACCTTGTGAAAGTGATGGTACTCTTAGATTTCCTATTCCATGCTTATCTGATTCTCAGGTATAACTTTAATCACTCAATTCTATCCTGTTTATTTTTTTAAAATCCCTTAATTAGAAACAAAGACTGTTTCCACCACCTACCATTTACTTGACAACTCTCATAATTTCAATCATTTTAGTTCTGTGTTCCTCCAACTCTCTAATTGGTATTTGAATTTCAATTTGGAAGTATGGCTATCACAAAGAGGGAGTCAAAATCTACATCTGTATTTTAATACTTTTCACTATTTTATCAATGCAAAGCTTTTAACTATTAAATATTTCTTAAACTGAAAGGCACCAGAGCTCAGTTATTAAATACTGTGAACCCTGAAGCATCCTGTATCAAAATTTCATCTATATGAATTTTTCTTCATATAACATTTGTTAAAACATCTGTTATTTCAATTCCTTGGCTTCACATCCTATGAATGATGAGTGAGCTCTATTGTATAGAATTTTTGTATCAAATAAGTAAATATTTATAAAATTGCTTATAAAACTATGGCAAGTACTGTGTGCATAAGAAAATTTAATTACTATTATTCAAAAGAGTACAAGGAGTTCATATTTGGAAATGGAAAAACTAAAATATTTGAAAGTCATTATGACCTTCCATATTACTCTTATGTAAAAATCATCTTTTGTGAAGTTATTTTCAGATTAACCTAGAATGTCTCAATGCTTTGAATTCTTTGGGGTTAGAATAAAACATTTATCTGAAAGTCAGTTGTTACAGGTTTTGGAAAGTCCAATTAGCACTCTGGGTATAGAAAATCTTTTTGGATCTAGAAAGTTATTTAGATAAAACCTCCTTAGGGAAAATCTAGACTATCTTGTGTGGACAGTGATGTATTTTTCCATGCTTATAAGTTGCTTCAAAAAAAAATAAGTTGCTTCAAATCAGAAGTCTGAGAACATGTTTGAAATCTTTGTTCTTTTCCATTAGCAGTGTTTCCTTTTCCTTAAAAAGAGATACACAATATGTCTTATTGATGATTTAAAAATTAGTAGTACTTACTTCCTACTAAGGAAGTAAGCCATATATATAGTGTTATAGAATAACTTTTAAAATATAGCTATTTACCTTCATTAAACATTAATAGATCTTTAGAGGATTCCAAGACCGTGTCAGCATGCCAAAAACCACTGAATTATGAAAACCCAGCCTCTGACTTTGAAAAGCTTGAGATAAAAAACACATGAGTCATACAACTTAAAAGAAGATATTAAAACAGGTATAAAAGTGGGGCTACAGTTGAAAGAAAATCATTCCTTGTTTGCATTTTTAAAGGAACATTTGGAAGGGTCATGGTGTTTTCAAATGAGTAAATTTCCCCTGAACACTTCTGTGAAGGAGAAAATTAAGCAAACTTGAAGATACGCATAAGCTTCAATTGACTGGAAACATGGAATAATCCATTTTGATGAAAACATATGGTTCACATAAAATAAACGCCAAAAAGTGATATGAAAATATCTCTTGATTTTGAGTACTAGACTAAGTCACTTTGAGTAGTAGATTAAGAAATTTGGATTCTTCAGAAGTTAGTTGGGAGCTAGCAAAAGATTTTAAGCAAACAAGTTAACATTGTATTTCAAAAGTTTAGATGGAAAGAAAATCTAGGAAGCTACTGCAATAATCAAGGATAACAGCATTAGGTAAAAATGTTTCTTAGGTTGCTGTAGGAATATGAAAGAAAAGAAAGATATATAGAAGCATCAGTGGCACCATAAACTGATAATTTTGCTTCTACCAATTAAATTTTTAAAAAAATTTATATTGGAGTATATTTGACTTATGCCTTTACTCTTGAGAAGCACTAAAATCTAGATGTGAGTAATCTATTTGCTGTTTGAAATGAGAGTAGAATTCACAAGTGAACTTTCCTTGTTAAGTAGATACTAAGAAAGAAGAATCCCAAGCATAGCTTCAAAAGTGGAAACTGGCCTAAGTACTAAAGATGAACAACAATGATACTAAAATATATTATGAAAAGACATAAACTATATTGGGGATTTTTAAAAAGATATTCATAAATACTAAGGCTTGGAAAAACTGAACTATATAGATATAGGCATGCAACACATTTCTGGAAACAAGTTATATAATTTCTAATAAAAATATAGGATAGTATCTTGGTACACAATATAGTAAAGCAAATTCTGTTCTAATTTTACATACATTCAATTCATAAAATTCCTTAAGAAAATACCCAGTTAATTGCTCAATTTCCTAAATTATTTTTTCAGACTTAAGAGAGTTTCTTTCTCATTGGTACGGTTTCTTAGAGACCCCGGAAATAGTCACCAAAATCTTATAGCCAAAACCCTAAATCTATAAATGTGGAAGATTCTGAATTACAGGATGAAAGAATCTTCCACTTTAAAATTCCTGGTTGTTTGTCTGATCATTTTTATTGTTACTTCATTTCTGTGATTATTTTAAAATTGTGTGGAATGTTTTCTCAGGTGCCAAAAGTTCACAATTTTGGTTTATACTAAACTTTTAGAAGTACTTAGTTTGCTGGAATGCCTCCAACAAGACACAAATAGTGTTCTCTATTTCATTAAGGATTAAGAAAAAGTTCTGAGAAGGAAGTAAAATTTCTCAGGATAAGGTAAAATGTTCAGCCATGGAGTATGTACTTACTTTTTGGGCCACGTGATGTCACTCTCCGCCGAGAAATTCTCTGATTCAAGGCGACAGCCATCTTTGAGGCTTAGGAAAGATACTCGAGTCTTTTATAGTTTCCTAGTGCAGAACAATGACGAACACAGCAGGATGAAACTGACGGATGGAACTGACGGAATCAGAAGATTTCCCTTAATATTGAGACATTTTTCGCTAAGAAGAAATAAACTCGACTATTTGAAATGCTGTGCGCAAGTCAAGGCAACCAAGGGAACTGGAATCTACTACTACTGTTTGTCACCCTCCTAGCCTGGGAGACAGGGAGTGGCCAGATTCGTTATTCAGTTATGGAGGAGGCCAAACACGGCACCTTCGTGGGCCACATCGCCCAGGACCTAAGGCTGGAGCTGCAAGAGCTAGTGCCCCGCTTGTTCCAGTTGGATTCCAAAGGTCTTGGGGACCTTCTGGAGGTAAATCTGCAGAATGGCATTTTGTTTGTGAATTCTCGGATCGACCGGGAGGAGCTCTGCGGGCGAAGGGCGGAGTGCAGCATCCACCTGGAGGTGATCGTGGACCAGCCGCTGCAGGTGTTCCACGTGGAGGTGGAGGTGAAGGACATTAACGACAACCCGCCTGTGTTCCAGGGGACACAAAAGAATCTGTTTATCGCTGAATCCAGGCCGCTTGACTCTCGGTTTCCACTAGAGGGCGCCTCCGACGCAGATATCGGGGAGAACGCTCTGTTGACTTACAGGCTGAGCTCCAGTGAGTATTTCTCTCTGGACGTACCAACCACCGACCAACAGGTAAAACCTCTCAGTCTTGTGTTACGCAAACCTTTAGACAGGGAAGAATCTCCGGAACTTCATTTAGTGCTCACGGCCACTGACAGAGGCAAACCTGAGCTGACTGGCACCGTTCAGTTACTCATCCACGTGCTAGACGTCAATGACAACGCTCCAGTTTTTGATAGAACACTCTATGCTGTGAAATTAGCAGAAAACGTCCCTAATGGGACGCTGGTAATTAAACTTAACGCCTCAGATTTAGACGAAGGCTTGAATGCGGATATTATTTATTCATTCTCTAGTGACGCTTCTCCTGATGTAAAATCTAAATTCTACCTAGACCGTGTAAGTGGGGAAATTACAGTTACAGGACACATCGATTTTGAAGAAAGAGAAACCTACAAAATCCGAGTAGAGGCGACTGATAAAGGCTACCCACCCTTGGCTGGTCACTGTACAGTGCTTGTGGAAGTTTTGGACGCTAATGACAATGCTCCTAAGTTGACTATCAAACCTATCTGGCTCCCTGTCAAAGAGGACGCACAGCTGGGGACAATCATCGCCCTAATCAGTGTGATTGACGCAGATGAAGGTGAAAATGGACAGGTGACCTGTTCTCTGACGCCTCATGTCCCCTTCAAGCTAGTGTCCACCTTCAAGAATTACTATTCGCTGGTCCTAGACAGTGCCTTGGATCGTGAGAGCGTGGCGAACTATGAGGTGGTGGTGACTGCAGGGGATGGGGGCTCGCCTTCGCTGTCGGCCACCGCCAGCGTGTCCGTGGAGGTGGCCGACGTGAACGACAACGCGCCCGCGTTCGCGCAGCCCGAGTACACCGTGTTCGTCAAGGAGAACAACCCGCCCGGCTGCCACATCTTCACCGTGTCTGCGCGGGACGCGGACGCGCAGGAGAACGCGCTGGTGTCCTACTCGCTGGTGGAGCGGCGGGTGGGCGAGCGCGCGCTGTCGAGCTACGTGTCGGTGCACGCGGAGAGCGGCAAGGTGTACGCGCTGCAGCCGCTGGACCACGAGGAGCTGGAGCTGCTGCAGTTCCAGGTGAGCGCGCGCGACGCGGGCGTGCCGCCCCTGGGCAGCAACGTGACGCTGCAGGTGTTCGTGCTGGACGAGAACGACAACGCGCCTGCGCTGCTGCCGCCCGGGCCAGGCGGAGGACCCAGCGCGGTGAGCCAGGTGGTGTCGAGGTCCGTGGACGCGGGCCACGTGGTGGCGAAGGTGCGCGCGGTGGACGCGGACTCGGGCTACAACGCGTGGCTGTCGTACGAGCTGCAGCCGGCGGCGGGTGGCGCGCGGAGCCCGTTCCGCGTGGGGCTGTACACCGGCGAGATCAGCACGACGCGCGCCCTGGACGAGGCGGACGCGCCGCGCCAGCGCCTGCTGGTGCTGGTGAAGGACCACGGCGAGCCGGCGCTGACGGCCACGGCCACCGTGCTGCTGTCGCTGGAGGACAGCGGCCAGGCGCCCAAGGCCTCTTCGCGGGCGTTGTCTGGTGCAGCTGGCGCAGAGACGGCGTTAGTGGATGTGAACGTGTACCTGATCGTCGCCGTCTGCGCGGTGTCCAGCTTGTTGGTGCTCACGCTGCTGCTGTACACGGCGCTGCGGTGCTCGGCGCCGCCCAGCGAGGGCGCGTGCGGGCCGGGGAAGCCCAGGCTGGTGTGCTCCAGCGCGGTGGGGAGCTGGTCTTACTCGCAGGAGAGGCGGCAGAGGGTGTGCTCTGGGGAGGGGCCCCCCAAGACGGACCTCATGGCCTTCAGCCCCAGTCTACCTCCGTGTACTGGATCTGTAGCCGACGATCCACAGGCTTCTTTGGACTTCTCTGGTAAGGTGGGTTATTCCAATATTTTATTTGTTCATTTTTGTATTCCGTCTTGAAAAATCTTAATTATCTTCTAAGGTATATTAGAATGGTTTTCATCCATTTATCCTAGTCTGCCAGGATGCTTAAATTTATTTGCAGAAAGTGAATACCTTCATTTTTGTGTTTTTTTTATTTTTTTTTTACTTCAATAGAGAATTATTATGAACCATGCATTAAACAGATATTTATTGGGACCAAATTCATTTTACTTAGAACCTGTTCTGGGAGTCACATTGAATTCGTGCTCCATTGTTGCCACCTTAGCTGAAAACTATTAGGTGTAAACAAATATAGTCATTACACTTTAAGTAAATGGCAACACCATTCTAAACTATACATGGTACTGTAGTCTTAATTCTTTTGGTTTTAAGCCACCCCAGAGTTAAGTGTAGTGAGTGGGCTTCCCTGGTGTTTCAGACAGGAAAGCGTCTGTCTGCAATGCTGGAGACCTGGTTTCGATCCCTGGGTCGGGAAGATCACCTGGAGAAGGAAATGGCAACCCACTCCAGTACTCTTGCCTGGAAAATCCCATGGACAGAGGAGCCTGGTAGGTTATACAGTCCATGGGGTCACAAAGAGTTGGACAATCGGACAGGACTGAGCCTCTTCACTTTACTATAGCAGGTATGTGAGTAACTGTGACCTTGTTAACTTTGTAGTTGTCTACCTTTTTGGAGACATGGTAGTCAGCAGTAATTAGTGTCTGTAACTTCAATGAGTAACTTTCTCTATACCTAGAAAAGAGATGCTTTACTTTAGGAATCTCATTTTGAATATAAGTGTTTCAAATATAACTCATTCCCTCTTGTTAAAAAAAATTTTTTTTACATTGTCTGACAATGTAGTTCACAAGAAAATGTTGGTTAAGAATCTTTTCTACCACTTAGAAAATTTCCTGAAATTCATGTTCTATCTGATATTGAAAATACTTCCTGAAAGGTACTCTTTCCTCAAGAAGACTCTCCTTTTAATTTTTTTTCTGTTAGTGATATAATAATGCTGAAGCATTAAAAATATATCTACATTCTGCACTTTGAATTCTCTTGAAATTAACTGTATGGAACTTAAGCAGTTTAAAAGAGGATTTTTTTTCTTTCAATAGTCCAAAAGACAGAAATCTGCAGATGAGGTTGTGCACCTTTAAATTTATTACATGTTAAATTTACATTTCCTGGATTATGGCTTGTGAGTTTCAAATTGGTGGTTCTCCACACTCTATCTTTAGTCTGAACATTCATTTTCTTTTCTAATTTATATTTTAAAAACCTCCTTTATTCTTGCATTGTATTTTTGTAATGCACCTTGTATTTCTACTCAGGGATTTTATTCTTTATTGTGTCAGGTGTTTTACAAGGTATTTCTTAATTGAAAACTCAGCAGAGCAAAATCAGAATGGCTTTGAGAATATAACCATAAATGTGCTAGTAAAAATCTCTTAAAATTAAACACTTCAGTGCTTTTCTTGTTTCCAAAGAACATATTTGGTATATGCTACAAAGCAATCTACTTTTTTCCATTCTATTTATTTAAAAACTTGAGTATTTTCTGAACTCCTGTAATAAAACCTATGTCTATTGGCATAACTCACTTTAAATACAGACTTATACTTTCAATTATTTCTGTCTGTGCACTTTTTCAGTTTCCATATGCCACCTGTATGTGGGTCAAGGTATTTGATTATGTTATATGGATTGAAGGATACTAGAAATGACATTTGCTTCTCCCCCAAATTCCCACCACTCTTCTAGTATCTTAGACCTAGTATTATTCATTAAGTAGTTATTACATCTTCTATAATTATACATTTTATTCTTTATCATTTTAATTGTATCAGTATAATTAGTAATTTGGTCGCTTATATTAATCTTTATTCCCTCCCAGAACATGGGTTATCATTGTGTGCAAATTTTCAGATCAGTAAACATCTTAGTCATTTATTTTTCGGGGCATCAGGAAGCATGAGCACAGTATAACTCGGGGAACTGGGAAGTTCCAAAAGAGGGCAGAGGCCAGAACAGAGAGGTGAGAGCTTGGAAGACACTTCAGTGTTTCGCCTGCCTAGTAACTAACCCTCTGTTTATCTGTAGATAACATTCTTCACTTTAAGCCAGAATCATGAGACCAACAATGAAGCTCCCCTATGCCAGTCCCTGAATTGTAGTGTCAAGATAGGGCTAACTACAGTTATGACATTTAGACACTTTTGAGAGTGAAAGGGGCACTATACAGGTTTATATAAGATTGTAGACAAACACAGAGGGTATCCAGGCTGACTGGGGTCTGTGGTCAGCCTGTCTTCAAAACTGAACATTCTGGTTCCCAGACATCACCTCAAATTTCTGAAATTAGCAGTAAAATTTGTATTTTAACAAGCATTCCAGGTAACTTTTATCCAACTGAAGTTTTAAATGCAATAGCTCTAATGAGTTGCTTGGGAAAGTAAGTTCTTATCATTTGACAAGATGTAACTTAACTACACTACTTTTTATTCATTATTGGAGATTTATATTGGGATATTTATGCTATTACTTGGTTCAAAAATGCTCATTAACAGCAATAGAATTTACCTTATATCATTATCTTGTGTTGAGATGATTAATCAATGATAAACTTATTTTTAGACTCCAGATAGTATTGACAGCTCACGCTGAACATTGATATTATGGATGGATAGATGAACTCATTTAAATTTTGATTATGTTTTGTAAGAAAAGTAACTCTTAAAATCAGAATTTGAATAGACTTTGACACTAGAATCATTCTGGAGGAGTATAGGACCATAATATCAGAATTTAGCAGCATACATACATCAGTGAATTAACTGACCCTCATTCCTATAAATTTTCCTATTCATAAATATTCTATTTTCCAGCTCTTAATAACTGTAAGAGTTCAAAATTATTGATTTATTTTAAAAATAAAAACATAATTAAAGAAATTATCCTTTGGATCAGACAAAACTCCTAAGTTTTCCTCTTTGGAAAAGGAGAAACTTCAGGTTTTATCATTAATGTAGACGTATTAATTGAGAATTTCAGTTACTGAATATTTGATTCCAAGAATTTTGAGATGAAATATTTTACCACAGGTGATGAAAAACTATTGAAACCCAAAATTATTAGATAAAGCCAAAACTCTGTATTTGGGGTATTTGAAAAAACATAAATATGACAAAGATGAAATTAGTTGTCTCTGAAAGTAGAAATCAAATTATATTATTTTAAATCATAATTAAGATTTTTTTGCTCATTTAAGATGTATGTAAAAAACTGAAACTCCCCCCTCTGTAACTAATTTCTCAATAAAAGCACTTTTCTGTTCACTTAAAGATAGGAACACTGCTCAGCCTGTGCAGTAGCAATAGTAAAGGCTTTATAGGGTGACACCATTCTATAGGTAACAATTTTTCCCAAAGAGCCAATTCTGGTCTTGAGCATTATGAAAACAATGTGGCTAAAGTGAGTTCTGAGAATAACTGCCATTTATGAAACACTCACTCTCCTTAAAGTACTATCCTAGGCACTTAATATATCATAATTCATGCAACCACTGTATTATTATTAATCTTCTATGAGTGTTATCAAAGTGGAAACTGAGATGGAGAGGTTAGATTATTTTCCCCAAGTCACACAGCTAGTAAGTTGAAGACCAGGAATAAGAAGAGAGGAATTCCTGATGTTGAAGCCTGTGACCTTCTCTGCATTCTAGTGATGATTGGCACTTAGAAGTTGCAAATACCTCACAGAGAATTGAAAATAGTGTCTGAATAAGGTTTACTTAATATCAAAATAATGATGAAGAGAGTGAATTGTGTTAGAAGTTGAAGAGAGTTAAATTCGTTATCTAACAAAACACTAGTACACTCAGTATTATACAAATATTAAAGTTTTTTTTCAAATTTAGCTAATGACAGTCATGCTTGGAAAGAGTTACTTCTGGGTGCTTTTCCATTCAAGAAAATGCTGCACTGCATATGGACAATGATTATTATTGTATACAGAAAAAACATAATGTGTCTTTGAAAGTTCATGAAGATATAAATTTGTGAAAATACAGTAAAAAGATACCAATGAGTTGTTAAACTCATGGAATTGAACTTACACAGTAAGCCACCGGATGTCGCTGTCTTCCACAAAAATGGCTTTTCAGAACAGACTCATAATCCTGTTTCTCAAGGACTAGGAAAGAGCTACATTCGGAGATCTCAGCCATTTCGATAAAATTGAATGTAAGATATGGAATAGGAAAACTCGGAGCGTGTGGGTGTGTTCTGGACGACCCGGTTATCGATGTGTAAAACAGAAGATGGGTATGATGCCGGTCCACAGACCCAGCGGTCTCAGCACCTGGCGCCTGCTTCTCTCCTTTCTGTTTGTTGCAGCCTGGGACGCTGGGAGCGGCCAGGTCCACTACTCAGTCCCGGAGGAGGCTAAACACGGCACTTTCGTGGGTCGCATCGCTCAGGACCTGGGGTTGGAGCTGGCGGAGCTGGTGCCCCGCCTGTTCCGGGTGGCATCCAAAGGCCGCGGGGACCTTCTGGAGGTAAATCTGCAGAATGGCATTTTGTTTGTGAATTCTCGGATCGACCGGGAGGAGCTGTGCGGGCGGAGCGCGGAGTGCAGCATCCACCTGGAGGTGATCGTGGACCGGCCGCTGCAGGTGTTCCACGTGGAGGTGGAGGTGAAGGACATTAACGACAACCGGCCGGTTTTCTCCACCTCAGAACAAAAGCTCTCAATTCTGGAATCTCAACCGCTGGACTCTCGATTTCCTCTAGAAGGCGCAACTGATGCGGACATTGGAGAGAACGCAGTGCTTACTTACGGACTCAGTTCAAATGAGTTTTTCACTCTTGATATTATAAACAAAAAGGACAAAGGCAAATTACCAGTGCTTGTTCTAAGCAAACTG